GGTTAGATAGGCATGGAGAGTTTTGCCATAGTGGACTATCTCTTCAAAAGAATTGTCTTTGGTATATCTGCAGCAGGGATACTTTGGTCAATGTATGAAAAAAAAAGGCAATAAAAATTGTACTGAGCTGTAAGTACCGCTTGACTATCCATTTATTAAGCTACAAAACTACTAAAGGTTGGTGGAATGTTGTTGTTTTTTATACTGAGGAATCTATCATTGAAGCCGTTCCCTATCTTTGCACTTTAATTACTTTTATACCTTTGGCACTGTTCGGTCACATGGCCACTGGCAAGACAAACAAGCCCTGGTCACCTCAGGTGACCTCTATTCACTCTAACGCTACAGATGGTTCTCAAATGAGGTCACTACTCCCTATCCTGTTTTATTTATTTTTATTCATTTATTTTTATAATTTCCCCTGTCGCTCAACCACCAAGCATATTCTCTTCCATTTAGAAAAATGACTACGAAGAATGTGAATGTCTTGTAAGGGTAGGTGCTGCGTGGGAAACAAACGCATTTCAAGGGCAGGCTTGAATTTTGCATCGTTGCATATTAACGAACATACTCTTTTATAGCCTATTCAGGATAAATTATTGCTGTTGGCTGGCACGTTGCATCAATTCTGCAGCATTGTTGATTTGAGTTCTTGAGCATGAACTGTTTTGACCCGTGTAAACATTTAATTCAGAGCTGGGCTTCTCAAAATGAGTTTTTCTCCACTCTTGAGACGAAGTTTGTAATGCAAGTAGAAGGTTAGGGATCCAGAGCGGTTTGTGCGTGCCTCCTCGGGGGTGAGCCCTGTTGAGCTCAGTGGTATTTACTCCCACGTAGGTTGCATAGGATTGCAGCCTTAACCTTTGGGACTTTGCTCCATTGTCCTTCAGTCAAGGTATGTGAAGTGAATTCTAAATGGTGCACTGTGCAGTGATTTTGTTCAAGAGTTTAAGCCACTAGTGAGTATACAATTTGGCATCCAGAGAAGGTTTCATTTGCAGAATTTAAATAGCAAAGTAAGTTTTTAACCTTAAATGTATTATTTGTGTTTATATTAAATATATTTCCATATTTACCTGCATTTATTAAATTATATTGATAAATACTCATTTATATAGTTATTATGTATGTGTATTTTTCCTTCAAGGAACCCAAGTTAGCTTACACAATTCATTTCCTGTTCTCCATTTTATCCTCACAACAACCTTGTGAGGTAGGTAAGGCCAAGAGTCTGACTGGTGCAGAGTCATCCACTGAGTGTCACAGCTGACTAGGGGATTCGAACCTGGATCTCTTGAGTCCCAGGCCAGCTCTCTAACCACCAGGTCATGCTGCCTCTCCTAAAGGCAGTGAAAGGCTTGCAAGTATATGGCCAGGCAATTCCTAAAGAGTGGAGGAAAAGATTGAATGTTGAGGCTAGAGAGAGGGTCTTTTGCTGGGTAGTGCTAGAATTTGTGGAGGGGATCACTTTGTATGCACACACACATGACAATGCAGAATTGAACTGTGGAACTCACTGCCACTGGAGTTGGCAATGATTAGTCCAGTAGGTTTTCCAAAAGATGTAGTTAGGCAAGGCCATGCTTATTTCAGGTCTTTCTTGGTTGACTGTTTAGGGTTTAATTAATTGATATTTATTGCTAATTAATTGGTGAATTCATTAGTAAGAAATAACAAAATGAGAACTGTGGAAGGGCATGATAGCAGAGAATTCCATGCACACAAATTCTGGGGACCATGGATTGGGGAGTTTACCTGAGAGAACCACATTGCGGGCAGGAAGCATCACCTTCATGCCTTGCTGTGAGGATGTATTCTTTTAATATTTATTTCCCCAAGGTCTGTGGCTCACCACTACCTGGCACCTGTGCAAGTAGCTGAGACCCAGAGATATTCTCAGTTGCTGATCTTATCTGGCTTTGTTTTCGGATTCTTATCAGCTTAAATGATAGGGAAGTCCCCCCCCCCCCCCCCGCACACATGCTGTTGCATTAAATTCATCTGATAAAAACTGAGCACTGCAGTGGCAGTGCATTAACGGTTGCTTTGCAAGAGGGGAGCCCTCTCCCTCGTGGCAGCTTCTCTCTCTCCCTGTTTCAAGAATTCACATGAATTTGAAGAGCAGAATCATTGCGGTGTTTCCAACGTAAAACCAATAATTAAAAACATATTAGTAACAATAATTTTAAGCAGTCTGATCCAAATACTGCCTGCAGAGCCAGTATCTTTTAAAGACTGTAGCTCAGATGGGATCTTTACTTAATAAATCAGCAAATGTGTGGTCTGTCCTTCTGGATAGGCTGTCCTCAGACTACCCCTTCCCTCTTCTTTTTCTTGGTGCATTGCAGTTAACTATTCTTTTCCTTTATGTATGTAGCAGGAAATGATGTTGACTAGATTTGAAGCAAATCTGGCTTAAACCACTGTTTGAAGTTGCTTTAAGATCTGGACTTCTTTTTATCTAGTAACTGTAATTTCTTTGTTCAGGTATAATAAGAAAGCTACAGTTAATTGACAACGTCCAGACTTAATTGTGACATATTGGGAAGGGGTTCTATGTGAAGGAACAGAGTTTCTTTGCATCTCAGTTTA